TGCTTAGAAGCTTGTTACATTTACAATGTACATGTAAGTACTGTCACTGCCTGTATTTTATGAAGTCTTTATTATAATCTAGCATTTATACTATAGCCATTGTAAATTGTGAAGTAATGTATAAATTCATTTATTGTAGTATGTTGATGAGTCTGGCACTCGTGTTAGAGGTGACTGTCACTTACTACTAGTGGGAGATCCAGGTATAATATACTGTGAATTGTATATGTAGATGTCGTTTATCATTTTTGATGCATAATGTACATCATGATGCATAGTAGTATAGTAGAGTAGTGTATAGTAGAGCACCTAACAAAATATTGTATGAATGGTTTGTTTTTTATCTGTGCAATTTTTGTGAAGTTCACATAATCATTTCTTAGTTTATACATGTACATGTACATGTAACATGTATATCGCAAGAATAAATTAACTAATGAACACACTGCACCCCCATTTAATTAACTCTTCCCAAAGCCACACCTTAATTATCATAGCACTGCTCAAGTACATGTATTTGAAGAAATCTATTGTTATTGTCCATGCTAATGGCCCATTATCTGAATGAGTTCCTTTTTCAATAATAAGGTCAATAGTCTGATTCAAATCCAAACTGAAATGAAATGTACTCGATTTAACTACATGTACTATTGTACATGTACGTGTTTGTCATGGTTACAGTGATGAACAAAGAGCTGGAATAAGAAAACATGCTTCAGAAATGGTGTGACGAAACACTTAGCAATTTTTAAGAACAAATTTGTTGATTGTCTGTTAGAAGAAAGCACAAAACGATATTGAATTTCTAATATTGACATGTATTGATGTCCTTATGCTGCATAGAAAGTTTGAACTGATTCTGACTTAAATTTTTTGAGTTATGAGCACTTTAAAAAATTGGCCAAATTTTGAAAAATTAATACCGAAGGCTATAATAGTCCATGGTTTTTGCAAAAAATGGCTCCGAAATCACCCCCAATTTTTATTACATTTTCCGATACATATTGATGTACTTATGCTCTGTAGAAAGTTTGAGCTGATTCCGACTTTAAGTTTTCAAGTTACGGCCATTTTTAAAAAGTAGCCAAAATCTGAAAAATACCCAAGGCTATTATAGCCCATGGTTTTTCCCAAAAAATGGCTCCAAAATCACCCCTAGTTTTTATTTCTATTTCTGATACATATTGATGTCCTTATGTTGTGTAGAAAGTTTAAACTGATACCAACTTAAATTTTTTGAGTTATGAGCATTTTAAAAAATTGGCCAAATTTTGAAAAATACCCAAGGCTATAGCCCATGGTTTTTTTGAAAAAAATGACTCCAAAATCACCCCAGTTTTTATTACATTTTCTGATACATATTGATGTCCTTATGCTGTATAGAAAGTTCGAGCTGATTCTGACAAACATTTTTCTAGTTATGAGCATTTTTTGAAAAGTACCCTGTACTATAGCCCATGGTTTTTTCAAAAAATGGCTTCGAAATCACCCCCAGTTTTTATTACATTTTCTAATACATATTATGTCCTTATGCTGCATAGAAAGGTTGAGCTGATTCCAACAAATAATTTTTAAGTTGTGAGCACTTTTAAAACGAGCAGATTTTTAAAGAAGAGCAAAGATTTGTTCTGAAAAATGTTTCCGAAGTCACCATAATTATGTTTTTTTTTTAATTCTGGTGCATATTGGAGTTTTGACCATTTTGAAACTGAGGCAATTTCTGAAAAGTGGTTCCAAATCACCTCCAATTATTGTGTCTTTGAGCTTTTTGTCTGATTTACAAATTTCAACCCTCAAAATGCATTCAGTGCATTGCCACTGCAGTTAGTAACTTAGTACTGATCAATGTTGTACATGTACATGTAACAAGTTCCCTAAGGTCTGGTTTATTATTAATATGTTGTAGGGTCTTGTTGGATACTTTGTCATTGGGTTTGAGGTTCCCTCTTATCCTGTGTACTTCAGTACTAGTCCTCAAGATACACCCACTCACTGGCATCAGAGGATATTCTTCCTCAATGAACCCATACAAGTTGAAACAGGTGGGTCTGGTTTAAGACTAATGTACAATTGGGTGAAGGACAAGTCAGTTTATCAATGTCTGTCTATCATTGTTATTATTATTATTATTATTATTAGGTGATTTATTATGTGGTAGTATCAGTTGCTATAAGAACTAGGATTGTTCAAGATCACTTGGTATCAAGATACTGGTACTGTTTGTACTTTGTTTGTCATTAGCAGAATTAAATTTTACCAACATTAATAATTTGCTAAACTTTTCTTCATTAATAATTATTTGTGACTTAACAAAATTAAAAAAATAATAAAATTCAAAACAAGCAATAATAACAAAGCAAATTAAGCAATCAATTGAATGCATATTAAGCATCAATGTTGATATTAAAATCAAGTCCCAGTTCATTCCTAATAGCTTCAACCCAGTCCTCACCTAAAGCTATTGCTGCATCAGCATAACTGCCTCTTACAGCAATGAATGAGCTTAAGAACTTTTGACAGTGCTCCTGCACTTGAGGTAACTTCTTCTTGAAACTAAGACTAGCCTTGAACTCTGTAATAAACTTTTCCATGCTATGAGTCTCTCTGACTTCATCACTAATAAGATGAGCTGCATATAACTGACTGGCAAGATCTGAGAGAGACGTCTTAAGAGAATTGAGATCAGCATAATGAGATACAAGAACATCATCAATCACTTTCTTTACTTTATTGACATCAACAGTAGCTGATGGACCTAATAGAGGTCAAAGGTCAGTATATACACACAGTATTATCACTTACTAGCTCCTCCAGTGGATGTTACTGACGTTGATTCATGTACTACATTAGAGGAGGAGGTTGGATCTGTGAAATAAGATAATAAGAATTAATTTTAATGTAATTAACATTGACTCATTGACTTACTCGTTGATAAGGGAACAGCAGGAGGTGTTCGGTTGATGTAAATTATTATTGAAGGATCTATTCCAATTAATTCAATGGGGCAATGAAGTGGCCTTTTAGCAACACCAATTTCAGCATACACTAATATATGGATACTGGAACACAAAGGATTGTCTATAAACTTGTCCACTACGTATTGACGTATCTATAATAATAGGTAACAGTCATATACTGTGTATTATACACATGTACACTGTACATACTTGCATTGGGGATTGGTTAGGATGTACAGTCCATCCTGATTCAAGTGATGGAGTATCTTGTAGACACAACTGAAGGATACCATCTGGTTGATTGTACTTGAACATGACAAATGGTCCATCTTGTTCAGCTTTAGAATGTCTGTTCTCTAAATACTAAAATTCCAATTAATAACATTCTTCATAATTAAATTACATTACATACTTGCTGAAGGACTTCTAAATCTCTAACAACAGAAAATGTAGTCATCCATTGATTAACTTTCTTCTCTTCATGATACATCATTCCAGTGTACAGTAGAGTGACTCCTGTATAACAATTATAAATGAAAAAATAATAACTGTAACATATACCTTTGTCTTCATTTGGTTTTTGTTTCACTTCATCTTCAGTTGACTCATTGCAAACATTAGATGAACCTAATAATACAAAACCTCATTATCAATGTACTTAATAAATTATACCATGCATACATACCAGAAGTAGACTCAACTTCTTTTACTTTTTGATTAGAGTCCTCAGTTACTGATTCTATTATGAAAATGAAACTTTATACAACACAATTACAGTCACACATACCTTGAGATAGTCCAGTATTTATTGGTGAGGTAGTTCTCTCACTAGTCTCTCCTGCTCCATTACCACTATCATTATGTGCGTCATCAGTTGATCCTATTATTGCACATTATTAATAATAAAACACTATTTCCATCATACATGTACCTTCAGGTGGTGTCTCATAACCTTCCTCACTCTCACTGTCACTAGGTGTGTCTCCATTACTCATCTCAGCTACAATACCCATACAACAGAACTGCTCACGCTTTATTGATCCATATCTTTTCCCAACTCTAAAAGATCCTCCTTCAACTATACTGAACTGGTAAGGAGACTTCAGTGGAGCTCTCACAAACTTGAGGTAACCAGTCTGACTAGTCTTCCTTAGATCCACACAATGTTGTAGCTCTATTACCAGTGGTTTTAATAGTGTCTTAGATACTGATATTGCATATACTGCACTCACTAGCACAGTACCTTTGGGTACCTTGAAATTACCACCAGCTAGTGCAGTAACAGCTACTTCGGTATCCTTGGACACTGCTCCTTTAGGACACTCTAATCTGAATCCATATTTCTCCCACTGGAGTGAGTCAGACCTGTCTCCTTGTAGGATAAAAAGCTTCTGTCCAGCTTTAATGACACTAGAGTCTAGTGAATCTGAAACAATAAAGACACATCATATCTAATACCAGTATAGTACACACACAATCATTCACATGTGTACATGTACATGTACATGATTAATTTACCCATTGAAGGGATCAGGTAATTAAATTGTAGTCCAATGGAACTAGTCTCTTTGATAGGTTGCTTGAGGACCCTCTCTTGTCTTTCCTTCACTAGTTTGGCTATGTACAACTCCTTTTCTTTAAGGTCTATAAATTAATAGAATATTAATAATTATTATTGATTGATGATGATACACTAACCAGTAATGATCTGTTTCTCATTTAATGTCAGTTTGGCTATAACTTTGTCTTTCTCAGAAATAAGATCTTGATTGTCATCTACACAATAAACATATTCTCTCGTCTAATACATGCTGTGTGTGAAGTTAACTAACCAATAATGATCTGTTTCTTCTTGAGATATTGTTCCTTCTCCTCCTCCATATCAGCTACTTTGAGTTTCAGTTTCTCATAATCTTCTACATTAATAGAATATTCTCTCATCTAATATTATGTACTGATGATACACTAACCAGTAACAATCTGTTTCTTCTCCTCTTCTTGTGTCTTTATTTCCAATATTTCAGCATCGTTAACTTTAAGCTTCTCATTATATTCTGTTATCAATAAAAATACAAAGGTTAAGGATAAAATGATATTTGTAGCTTATACAAATTTGGACTGCATGTACAGTAGCCCATAAATACATGTACTATGATTATTGCTCCTGATACCATATATGGTAAACAGAGCTCACTCTACATAAATCTCATTATTTCTAGTGCATGAACAATTTGCCCTATATTGAGTACAGGATACTATTTACCATACTCAACATTCTCTAATCCACTAGTATTATAATGTAAACAATGTACACATAAACAACAGTACAACACAACAGTACCTAATTCAAGACTTGATTTATCCTTTTCTGCTTGCTCAAGGAGAGTGGTAGCATCATCAAGTTGCCGACTAAGTGTTGCCTTTTCTTGAAGAAGCTGTTGCTGCTCTTTGTCTCGATCTTGCTGTATCTGCTCCTTCTCTTTTATTTCTCTTTGAAGCTGTTCCTCATAGAATTTCCTCTCTCTTTCTTGTAGGTGTCCTCTGAGTAATTGAACCTCTTTGCTTAATCCTAAATTCTCCCAATCACCCAGTATCCTTCTTCTTAGTTGATCTTGATACTGGTCCAGAGGTATTACACTAGTAGACCAATCATTATCATTAGTAAATCCTATACAGTAACAAAATAGTGGAGAATAAGAAATACACAAATTAATTACAGTTATAGTTACTATGGTAAACTTATTACGTGTGACCTCTGTCAGTTTACACAGTTAACCACATGAACATATTATTGTATATAAATACACTGAAAATTATTTCATTCACTCTAGCTCCTATTAATATCAGTGTTTCTGTATCTGCAGTCATTATAATTCACTATTGTACATAGCAGGAATGAATTGGTAATAATTAGTATCATAGGTATATGTCAAATGCTCTCATTAAACATTCATCATAAGAATTACTTACTTTATTGTAATATTATTATTACTAATTATCATTACATAATCAATACACATTGTATCTACTACGGTCTACATGTGCTTACTGAGTTCAATAACTGCTGTATCACTTAGTGTTGAATAGCCTCTATCTCCACCACACTCAATTATCCAGTTAGTAGTTGGGGTCACACTCCACACTGAGAGAGAATGCCATTGTCTGTTAGTGACATCGTCTGGTATATTAATCTATAAAATTAAAACAATAATAATTAATTTGTGTATAACATATAAATTGATTTGATATCTGGTTAATAAACACAATAACTAACTCACAGTTTCATAGACTGCACAGTGTGTTTCATGTAACACAAAGATGACATAATAAAATTAATAATACACAATATATTAATAGACAAGTATACACAACTGAGTCTGTTATTATATCATGTGAGTCCTCAATTAAGAACTTACTAAGTGTCTGCATCTACACACATACACATACACA